AGTACTGGAGTTCACTTGAACCGTCCCCCAGACCACCCCTTTTAAGCGGACTCGGGTACGGTTCGCGGGTGCACACCCAAGTTCGGAAGACCGCATTCACATCATCCAAACGTACCGAACTCTGACGTCAATCGAACCCGGGAGCACACCAAAAGTGCTAGTGTGAAAGCACCCTTAAACTCATTTGACAGTAAGCAATTTTAATTGAAGACATTTTAATGAAACCAGAATCGGAACCGGAATTGGACATTCTTACAATTCCCTAATTTTAAGAGAATAATGACTTAATGAATTTTAATTTTCAGTTTGTTTCTCACACAAAATTATCAGATTTGCTAGAATATAATACACATATGGACATACAGCATATAGCAAGTCATATGGACTGTTTTATGGTGCATTTACACATTTTTTTGGTTCTTTCAGAAGCTTTACAGACATGGTCACTATGAACAGTCATTGAACAGGATTGACCTGTGTGAAGATTCTTCAAAAATTCTCCTTTGATCCACTGAACCAACAATATACAGGTTTGTATTGGCATGAGGTTGAGTCCACATACACAATGACAGAAATGCAATTTTCTGTAAACTATTCCTTCAAACAACTGCTTATGAATCACATGTAAGGTGACTAACCTTTTGGATTGTCGTCTTTACTCTCACTCTGCACAGTTGTGATCACTTTAAGAAAAGGTCGCTCAATGTTAGGGAGGCTGTAGGGATCCATTGGACTGGGAGGAGGTACTGGAATACCTGGAGGTGGGTACATCGGCCATCCCGGAGGCATATATGGAACATAATTGCCATATGGATCGTAACTTCCTGGTGGGTAGTCAGGTGGCATTACCCCACGTGGGGGTGGCCCAGGGTATGGGGGCATGGGATGTGCCGGGAGGCTGGGTCTGGAGGGATACGTCTGTGTCCCAGGACCCACAGTGGGTGTGGTAGGCCAGCCGCTTTCTGCAATGCCAGGTTTAGCCTCTTTCTTGTTCTGACTATGTGAGCATGGAGATCTTTGTTCTGGGGAAACTGGCTTTTTCTTGCTGCGACGTGAAGTGTGATCCAAACTGCCACTTCGGCTTTGACTTCTTCTGCTTCTACTTCGACTGCTACTCCGACTGCGACTGAAGCTTCTGCTGCTACTGCTGCTGTAGCTCCTACTACGGCTCCGGTGCTTTCTATCCGACTGCCTACGAGTCAGAGTCTTCGCAGGGGTGTTACCGTGCAGACGCTCTTGCGTCCTAGCGGCCATTTTGCTTATCTCAGCCATGCCCAGGTCCAGGCCAATTGTTTTTAGCAAATCTTGTATCTTCTCATATTCCTCTACCTCCTTCCTCACCTTTACATCCTGTGGCCCAATTCCAGGTGGGAAGTCGCCAGGTTCTTCCTTGGCATGTACCTCAGGTGTGGCCGAGGAACGATGCCTGTCTGCCTGCCTACTGTCTCTCTGCGAATGGCTCATCCCAGGTTCTCCAGTATGGCCAAAAGTGTAAGGTTCTCTTCTCTGAATATCACAAGACTGTGGGTAACTTGTGTCTGGAAAGTTGGAATTTGCTGGTTTCACCTCACTGCCCTCTTCCTCTTCATCCCCATAGAGGAATTTCTCCTCATCTTCAATATCTGGATTACTCTTTTTTACATTCTGTGGTTGGGCGACCTCTGCTATCATTCCAAGGAACTCTGTGAGGTCTGATTTCTCCTGTCTTCCCTTCTCTTGAGGGAGCAGCAAGTCACTTCCACCCTCTCTGGCTGACTGGATCTTACCAATCAGCTCTTCGAGAACACTACCATCAGAGCTTTTTCCCAGCATGGATGCGAACAAGTCTGGATCCATGGTTTTGGAAAGTGCACAGAGAAGCTGTTCTGCCTCATGTGAAAGACCACCATCTGGATTTCCTCGAGGGGAATCACTATTCTGAAATACATTGGTTAAATATGCTTTAGGCACACTAGCATCATCATTCTTTACTTTCTAAAAATAAAACCAACTAAATATCAGCCAAAGCAGTGGTCACATTAGACTTTGAAGAGGCAAAATAAGTATGTTGCAAGGGTATGAATGGAAGTCAATGGAATGAAAAGTGTAGTGTGGCCACCCTTTAAAGGGATAGTTCACCCAAAAATGAAAATTTCCCAATGATTTACTCACCCTCAAGCTATCCTAGATATAAATGAGTTTCTTAAATGAAGTGAAGCAATGCGTTTTTATAAGAAAAACATTTCATATTTTCAACTTTATAAACTCTAATCTCTAGCTTCTGCTAACTGTTGTACGTGTGTACACGAGAGAGTGGCGTTCCAGTGGATGACGTAGGCAAACGCGGAAGTGACAAACACGGAAACACAGAGGAGAGAGCATAACAAAACACCGGTCACAAATTAGAAGTACAAAACGAGGATCTGCAAAGAAAAATGTCAGAGGATTTCTTACAGAGGAGACTGGTTTTCCAAAACAAAACTTGGTTCTCAAGAGTAGCATTTTCTCACTGGAGCTTACGCTACAGCTTGGAAGAGCCAGGACATTTTTTAATATAACTCAGATTGTATTTGTCTGAAAGAATAAAGTCATACAAACCTAGGATGGCTTGAGGGTGAGTAAATCATGGGGTAATTTTCATTTTTGGGTGAACTATCCCTTTAAATCTGTAAGCCAACTAAAGACCAAGACCATACTCTACACAAGAATGTGAAATCTCAAATTTGTGCACTGTTACATACAGAAAAGCATGAAAGCACAAATAAAAATGCAATGCACACTTGCTATGACATATATTAGCATAAACTCTTTCAGGTCAACTACAGACATTTGAAGGTAACTACTGCCACCTTGAATGTCAAAAAGACATGCATCACAAAATATCAGCACCATATCGGTTATCAAACAATATTTAATTGTACATAATCATTTTTAATTTTAACATAGGTTACATTTGTCATCATCTAATGCTTATTTTAAGTTAATAGTAAAAATACTCTGAACAATTAAATCTTTTTATATATAACTTTGTTATAATGATGTGAAGCTCAAAATCACTTTTAGCCAGTGTTGGGGGTAACGCCCTACAATTAACAAGAGTCAGCTTACTTTTCAGATTACTTTACATTTAATTTTAGAAGAAAATATAAAGAGTTACTTTTTCAAGTTAGTAATGCAAGTTACTTTGTTTTCCCATTTATTCACTGACAGCTCTACTGTCCCCATGTTGAAAGAGATATTGGGAGTGAGGTGAAGATTTGTTATTACAAATAAGCCCAGCTCAGGTGACAAAAAGTAACGCAAGTAACTGCATTATTTTCCATAAAAAGTAACTAACACAATTAGTTACTTTTTATGCAGTAACTCACTATAGTAATGCTTTTAAAATTAGTTTTAAAAGTAACTTTCCCCAACACTGCTTGCAGCATTTAAAATTTTTGCTTTTAGTTTTCAGTGTTTTATTTATTTATTTTTATTTATTCTAAAATGTATTATCGGCCATAACATGTAGCCTAAATAATAACTATCATCAGAAATTTTAATATCAGTCCATCCCTAATACTGAGGATTGCAAAGCATGCGTGTCTAATTTGCTTGTGTGAAGTATTTCTGGCTTGAGTGAAGAATAAATATGAACAGCTTTTGACTTGCATTTTGAATGTCAAAATTACCCAAGACATAATGAGAGGTGGTTACCTGCACTAGCATGGGAGAATCCGTCTCAGAGGAATCCATTCTTTTCTTCAAAATTGACTTTGCAGGCTGTACAAGCATATCCTGAATTTCTTTACGTCGTCTGGCCTTCTCCAGCTCAGTAAAGTCCTCCTCCTGGTTCCTAAAATTACCTGATTTGACTCTCCTGTTGATGCTGCTTTGGCGACTCCTACCGGAGGCGTTGCTGCTACTGCTACCACTACGACTGGCGCTGCGGCTCCAGCTCCTAGCGCGACTCCTTCCTCTGCTTCTCCCCCTGCTACGGCTCCTTTTACGACTGTGGCTACGTGGCCGACTCTTGCTCCGTGCCCTGCTCCTTGCCCTACTCTGTCTGCGACTACGGCTTCCGCTTCTGCTTCGACTTCTACTGTAGCTCCTCCCTCGGGTTCTGCTCTTGCTACGCGCTCGGCTCTTCGCTCGTTCGGGACTCCTGCCACGACTGTAGCTGTGACTCCTGCTCCGGCTACGCGGGCGACTTTTGCTGCGCCCGTAGCCAGGACTGCGACTCTGCGCCCTGCTCCTGCCACGACTAACACTGCGCCTCCTCGAACCTCTATCGCTGTGTCCATCATAGTTTGATCTCCGTGGAGAGTAACAGGGCTTATGTGATTCTCCAGCAGCATAATCTCTGTCAACAGAAATAATCACATCATAAACTGCAACTGAAGGACAAGGACATATCTAGTGAGTCTATGGGGTCAAGCAAAAATATTTCCATAATTACACATGATAGCTTCAAGCACTGTCGTATTAAATTATGTAAAAAACACTTATCCCGAAGGGTGTCTTACGCTCCATCAGAGAATATTGATTTTGAACAGGATGAAGAGGAAAAATGCAAGTTTGAGCAAGTGTCTCTCCATTATGAAAGCAAAAGTTTAGAATATGTTCACCGTTTCAAATCAGGCATCAAAAGATTGGCAGGTCTAGTTGTTTCTCAAATCAGTTTGATGAAATTCAAAAAATTGTCTTACACCCTCAAATCTTGGGCATTTCTATCCATCAAACACTCTCTAGTATGAAAACACATTCAAGTATAACATGCATCAAAAAAAAAAAAACACGACTTGTCTTGCATCAAAAACTACTCAATTTCTATGACCCAATCCCGATGGTGACCCCCACTACCTAGAGAGTAGGGTGAAATATGAGATAAAATTTAATTGCTAATGATAATTTAACGAAAAAAAAAAAGACTTTTATCAATCAACAGAGTGGTCACACTTATCAGCATCAGCCTCATTCTCAAAATGGGCAAATAAAAGCTGGAATACACTACACAACTTTTGCCAAGATTTTTATTTTTAACTTGCAGTCTGCAGATTTTGGCCAGTCAGAGTTGACAGATTTCACAGAAAACCACATACTGTATGATGGACACAAACTCCAAATGTTTTACCTTCAGACAATGATTCCACCCATTCGGAGGATATCAAACATATTTGATATTTTGAGACTATTTCAGCCTGACCTTCTTTTCTCTGTAAATTAAGGGTGCACACTATTGCTGAAAAAAAAAAACAATCACTACTCAGCAGTCAAGATGTCCGTATGCACAAAGGCACAGATCCCTAAACAAGACCATATCTGCAGATGAAACGTTTTGTTGTAGAAGCACTTTTTAAATTTGAATTAGCACCTCATGACTACACCACATTATGTACGAGAAGCTGCAAAAGACACAGGCGCAAGTGGAATGTAAAAAACACGGTGACATTAATTTTTAAGTAAATATAATGGGCGATATATTGCGTCACCAAAAATGATTGAGGTCATGTACATATATTGTGCGATAAGTCGATATATTGATTATTGCGACAGGCCTATTCAGAACACATTGTTTTCATTTATCATGCATCTCCTAGAAACAAGGCGCATGTAACTGCATGTTTGGTGTGTTCAGAACAACTTGAAAATCTGGTAGTGATCCTCAGTCATTTAATGTTTTGATGCCCAGTTTTTCTCAACCAGTTCAGCAAGTAAATCTGTTTAGATTTTACAATGTCACAGTGTATTCCAATAAAGTGCCCCTATTATGCCATTTTTAAGGTTCCTAATGTTGTTTTGGGAGTCTCTTACAATAGGATTACATGCAAGCAAGGTCAAAAAATGCTTTTGTTTTCTCAAAATATGTATTTAATATCACCTCACTTTCCAACGATTCGCTCGAAGCAGTTCTAAGATTCACTCTCTATAAACCCCTCCTTTCCATGAGCCTACTCTGCTCTGATTGGTCAGATGGCCCAGTCTGTTGTGATTGGTCTACCACATACAGCGTGTGTCGGAAACGATACGCCTATTGCCATAGTTCCACATTTTGAACGCTCGATAGAAAATATAAACATCTATTATTTATCATACTTTCAGGTGGTGATTCAGTGGAGCAGCTGGTCTAAATAAACTGGGTACCGAGTCATCTTTCAAGAGCAAGCGTTTGTGAAACCCGCGTTAAACTCCCCGAGATTAGAAAAGCAGTCGTCAGCAAAATGACGGGAACACAAAAAAAGATTGGGGTTGTACTGCTGTGGTACAGTGGGGAAAAAATCATTTTAACCACTGATTCTTTGCGGCCTCATCTTTCGGAAGTTAAAATAAAACGAATTTACTTTCACAGCGTAGGACACAGAGTCTTATCGACATGACGTTTACTACTCGAACAAGCAACAGTGTTTGAGGGCAGGTCAAGTTGTTCGTGGCCTGACAACGTAGAGCATAGGTGGGCATTATGCAAATGTGTTACTGCGTGACGTGTAGCCGTCATGGAAGTTGGATTCGAATTATTGACGACTCGATTAGGCTGTTCAGAGACGATTTTTTATTTTGGGAGACAATTTTATTTATCGCGCATTTTCGGCTTTACAACTTTGCTGAATGTTTACATTCACATACAGCTACATTACACACTGCATGAAAGGCAATATTCAAAATGGCATAATAGGGGCACTTTAAGAGTCAAGATATTGTTATAACACTAGGTTGCATCTCTTACCGGACAAAGGGAGCTTCAGTCCCTGTGTAGCCTGGTGGATGGGTCAGCTCATTGCCCACAGTTATGACCAGACTGTGATCACTGGGGAGTCCACCACGAGGAGGCGATGGGGTGTATCTCTGTTAAAAAAATGGGTACATAAACTAATTCATACATGGAATAAAACAAACTTTTAAAAAAAACTTACACTTAACTGCACATAATTATTAAATAAGTGGTAAGCTCTGCACAACTTTTTTACATTTTCACCATGGTTTAATACCATATAGATACAAAATGGCGTTTACATGGTACTTCGAGGCACTTCAAAGAATATCATGGTAAAATGTCACTAAAATCATGGAACCAAGGTATTTATTATTAAAGTACATAACACTGCAACAAGTAATGGAATGAGAAGGTAATACCACAGTGCTTTAATACCATTTTCACATGCTAATCCATAGCATAATACAGTATTACCGTAATATACGTCCGAAAAGACATAGTAGGACCACTTCCACTTTTCAATTAGCGTGTAACGTTACCATGGTAGATTATTGCAGTGCTGCATGTAACGTTAGCGGTGTAATGCAGTGTTGTGTTTACTTCATACCCCGAAGCCTCGCTGAGGTCTCCCTCCTCTGCATTCACCAGGTGGTGAATATCTCCTCCGCGGTGACGGCCGGCGGTACGGATCCGGGGGACGGCCTGGTCCAGGACGGGGCCCGAAACCACGCGACGGCGGAGGTTGATAGCCGCCTCTGTGCGACCTAGACCCGCGATACATTACGACGCTTAGCCGCTGTTTCTGCGTCGATGTGGAGTCCTTATTATCCTGGGTGCAGGATAGCGATGATCCCTGCAACAGGTAAATGCGAATCCAAAAAAGTCAATATGTACGAGAGCGTATTCATCACACAAACACACACACACAAACACAAACACAAACGACTCCGTCTGACGTCGCTTCCTGTGGCCGGCCGCATTCACCGGACCTGACGTCACCAGCCAATCGAACGCAGCGAAATTGCACCGTTTTGTTTATCGGGTCTCCTAAACACAAAAAGAAATAGAAAGCACTATTTATATGCTAAACATTGAATATAACTAAGTTTAGGAATTGTAAATGCTGTCATTTTGATCATTTACACCCACTGTAACGTTACACTAAGATGATTTGAATATGATTTTGGTGTGGAAGATCTCGACTGTCCTGCAAAAAGCCCAGACAGGAACTCCATGGACACATTCAGGATCAATTGAAACACCAACTGTGAGCCCAGCTCCTTTACCCAACGTAGCAGATGCAACAAAGGTGCCCTGGAAAGTAGTTTCATGCAGACTCAACCCTAGGGTGGCGCAGTGTTTAATGGTCGCAAGCAGGAAGAAAGAAAGAAAAAAGTAACTTATAAGATTTGTCTCCTCCCGTTGACATGCCGACATAGTTAAGACCACTAACTGTAAAGCAAAACATGTTTATATATATACATACATA